GTTGGACACACCGAGTCAGACCAAGGGACTCCTCTGTTCACAACCTGCCAGGGTTCTCCACTTCTCTTCAGGCAAAGGTGAAGTCTTCACTATGGCCTGCAAGGCCCCCATGAGCTCTGACCTCCATCTTGCCTCCATCTTCCTTGCCCCACACCTGTCTCACCTGGCTCCCCACCTACTTACTCCCTTGACCATTCAGTTCCAGCCACACTGGCCTCCCTGAACCCCAGCTCACACCCACCTCAGGCCTCTTACGAATTTATATCATGCCTCAAAACAGGGGTCTGAGAGAAGCAAACTAACAAATACTGCAGCTGGGATGCCCTCCGTAGAAATAGGTAGCTCCAACCCCTGTTTTCCTCTGGGTAATATTTTTTCATATGCTTCTCCCAGACTCTAAAATTCTGAGGATGAATCCCAGAATATAAGTTGACCATTAAGCAACATGGGTTTTAACTGCACTGGCCTACTTACATGTGGATTTTTTTCAATAAATATATTGGAAAAGTTTTTTGATTTGTGATCATTTGAAAAGACATTTTCTTTTCTCTATATTACTTTATTGTAAGAACACAGTATATAATACATATAACATAGAAAATGTGTGTTAATTGGCTGTTTATGCTATCAGTAAGGCTTCTGGTCAACAGTAGGCTACCACTAACTTTTGAGAGAGTCAAAGTTATACATCAATTTTCAACGGTGTGGGGAGTCAGCACCCCAATCCCCACATTGGTTAGGGGTCAGCTGTAATATTAAATCACCCAAACATGCAAACCCCCTCAAGTAGCTTTGTGTCCCTGCCCTGCCATACATGCATACATTCCAAAAAAGAACAGCTGAGTCTGCTTTCCACCTAATCTTCCAGATAAATCACTCATCTGTGTCCTCAATAGGTGAATTTATTGGGCAATTTTGGAGTAAGGGGTGTCAGTTTGATCCTAGTGGGAAAACACAATGCTCGTCCCACAGAAATTTCTGTTTATCCTCTTCCTAAAGCGGCGCCCAGCAGATACTCATTTAAGGCAAAGAGAACACACTGTTGCTACTGACATTAAATGGAGTTAAGACCCCTGTCCTAAGCTATTTCACTTTGCTATGAGCATGGGCATAAAAATGTCCCTCCAAACAGCAATGAGCCTCACAGAGGAAGCTCCTGAAGAACAGCAACCAGCACCTTCCTTGTCCAGGTGAGCCATAAACTCTAAGGGTTGTAAGATCTTGTCTTCCCCTCCTTCCTGATTTTAGAGATGAGGAAGCTGAGACAGGGAGATGTGGTAGACAAATAGCCAAGCAGTCCACAGGCCACATAACCCATTAGTAGCTGAATCAGACCTGCAACCTAGGCTCAAATCCTCCACAATGTCCAGTCCAGTCCCCTACAAGCAGCAACTACTTCACATCAAATGATCAGTCCATAAGAAAACCATGTATCCATGCCCTGCAGAGATGAAGATAGGTTTTCTAGGACATGCCAATTCCTATACACCAGGGGAAATGAGGGAGATTGGAAGAACCATGCTGTTTCATGCCGAGTATTAAGGCCACCTCTGTTCAGTTGCCTTTCACAGCTAGTGACTTACATGAGTCTCGGGTACTTCCTGGACACCATACCAAAGCTTTCTTCTTTCCATCTGTATACTTACTTCCCCAACTGGCGTATTTTCCTTTTCTTGTTTCTGAAGTAGTTGAAGTGTCTACAGGAGAGATGGCCTGAATGTCTTCAGCAAATACACCGACAGAAATGTTTACCACTCCTTATTTGCTGTTACACAACATTTATTTGCTCTCATAGTGTGCCAAGGATCTGAAAACATGTCGTTGATTAATAAATAGTAATTAAGCCTTACCACCTTTCTCAGAGACAGGGTTGGGAGCTGGGATTCCCTTTCAAAGGAAGCTCACTGGGATCCACAGGCTCAGAGTTCTTCCTGAAGCCGGCCCAAGCCACAAACCCAGGTCCTTCCCCTGTGCAGTCTTGTCTCCCTCCACCTCATTTCCCTCCCTCTTGGGCCGGCCTTCACTCACACTGGGCCCTGTCCCCCAGCAAAATATCTGACCCAACAACCAGCTGGCTTGACCCTTTAGCTTCCACAGTGTTCTTTTCTGCACAGAAAGGTACCTGGACCAGGCAGCCAGATATCAGATCACCAAGTCTGGCAAAGTGAATACTCCTTAGGACTTCACCATACTTGATTTTAAAAGCACTTTCACACTGTAAGTTGACAGTCTGCCTTCTAGGATCTTGAGGGCATATGGTGAAGGTATAACAAAATGACAGCACCTGCAGAGTACCTTGGAAATGAATTACAATCCTAATTGTTAATCATGACTTATGCTAGGTTTCATTATAAACAAGGCAAGAGGCTGAACAGACTGGAAGTAACCTCCCTCTTTAGACTCAGACCAAGGTCGCTGGACTTGGCCCACGGTGAAACAGACGCCCTGAACTTCAGACCACTTCTAGAAAGTACAAGGAGACAAAACAGTGTTGATAATCCAATTGAGATGTTACATATTTAGATGACAGGTTACCTCACAATTAGGTTTTCTTTACATTAATATTCAAATTAGCTTTCCAAATACTAAAGGTAAATCGAATTACTATTAAACATTTGCTGTTACATAATCCACAAAGTGGCTCCAACCCCTCCTTCCCACGGATAATCATGAGTTGTTCTGTCTTGATTCAAGTATCTGCTCAACCACTTAGTAATTAGTCATCTTTGGCAGGTCACATCTCTCTGTTGCCTCAGTTTTCCTATCTACCAATTGGGGATAACAGTAATTACCTACCTCATAAGGTTATTATGAGAGTAAAATGAATTAAAATATGGAAGGCACTTAAAATAATACCTGAATTTATTTATTCATGTATAAAGTCATCTATGATAACTACCACTACTAAGTCATTGAGTAAAAAAACACTTTCCACCATTTTTTCACTTTTCTAGAACCCCTGCCAGCACCTCGGGACCTCAGTGGGGGGTTTCTTTTCAAAGAATTGTTTCCAAGGCAGAAGGCAAAGCATGAGGACCCCCAACAGAAACCCACAGCCAAGTTCATGGGAACATAGCCAGAGTCCAAGAGGTTGTTCTACAAGAGCTCTACCACCTCTCTGGCACCAGAAGGCAATCCCCAGCCTTTTCAGAGGTGGAAAGCACCGCAGTCATCCCCAAGGAGCGCCTGCTACAGCAGAAGCCACTCAATCAAGCCACAGCTCACTGAGCTTCAGGAGCCTGGCCACTGCAGAGGTGCGGCTGCCAGTTCTCACGGGGAGCAGGAGTCAGTTAGGGGAGACTGCATCCATCTGCCTGGAGGTTGCAGGCAGAGGAACCCCTGCAAGGGCCTCAGGTGGGGATGTGCTCTCTGCAAGGCACAAATTCTCACATGATGAGACTCCTCTTTCCCCAGTCACCTCATCTGCAGTCACACAACCCATCTCAGAATGACAAGCAGGGCATGCTTCTGGTTTGTCTATAACTTGAGCATCTCAGCGTCACATCCCCACACTCACACCCAAATAAGCCTCAATGGCAATTTTCAAAAGTTTGGACCAAAACTCAACCTTAACTAGACATGCTGAGAGGCAACCCCCACACCCTTCTTGATTAAAAGGCTAAGCCCTTTCTGTTTTCATCCCAACAAAGACAGAAAGTCTATACCCATAGGTGCCCTCTCTGAAGCTCAGCACAACAGCGGGAAGACCCTGTTCTTGCCCTTGGCAAGTCTGCCTCTCTGGGCATCATGCCCGGCTGGGAATACTACCTGCACAACTTCACTCAGCGGAACCCATTGAAGATATGGAGGTGGGGGTGAGGGAAAATGAATGAACAACTGCAGTGAACCCTGAGCACGGGGCAGAAGACAATCACGGTTTGAAAATGTAGCTGTGGGAAAACAAACCAACCACAAAAATGAGTTAAGGGGGGAAAAGGAAGGCAGGAAAGGGAAAGCCTACTGATTTATCTTACCAAACACCTCCTCTGCCTCTTCCCCGCCTAATAAACACCTCCAGGAACCCCTGAAAAATGTTTAGTTCATATAGCACATATGTGTGTGCGTGTGTGTGAATATACCTACTGACAGATACGGATCAACAACAGACATGAGGGGAGAAAATAACTTAAACTTCAGACTCATCCAGCAGTGCCTGGTTCTCTTTCACTATCAGCCTCCCTATTCTGAGCGCTCCAAAACAAAACAAACAAAAACCAACTCATGGGCAGAAAGCGAACCGCAGCTGAACTGAGCAGCACATGCCTGGAGCATTCATGCCATCGACTTCTGATTATTTCTGCTTTCTTGAGACGCAGCCGCCAGCATCACACTAAATACAGCCCTGAAGAGAAACCGCCTGTACAGACACTCACAGACCCTCCTCCCTTGGAGACTTACACCCTCGCGTGTGCGGCTGAGCCTCAGCGAAACAGACTTATGCTCAGGTAAGGCTCTGCCCACATGTGACCCTGAACACTGCGAAATCCTTCCCCTCCATAATCGCGTAGCCATCCAAAGTCTTGCCTATACCTCCTACGCGCAGATACCAATTCTTAAGAATACATGACGGAAAAGCAGAAATGAGGATGCCCGAACCCGGTTTTCTCGGGACCACTTCTCTCATCCACACGGTGCGCCCATACACATGGTGAGTAAACGCACACAGCCAGTAAACAGAAATATCCACCATGCTCAGCCCCCAGTCACGCGTGGGGAGAAAGAAGTCGAGAGGGCGGCGGTGTCAGGGGAAGTGGACTTCCACTTCCCGCCGGCGACTGTGCCCCCAGAGCTCCCCCGCCCGGGAGCGATGCCCACCCGCGTCCGGGGGCGCAGAACCACACGCCGGGAGCACGGGGGGCTCCACAGAGCCGAGAACCAGACAATGAGGTCGCAGCGAGCCCCGGATTCTGGCCGCGGTGACGGCGGCAGCGGCGGCAGGAGCCGCCTAGGCACCCGCGGCCGCGGCCACCTCCACCCTCTTGTCCCCGGCCCCCACTTACGTTCCGAGGGTCTCCTTGAACTCGAAAATTTTCTTGATGTCTTCAGCTTGCTTTTTCCAGGAGGAGCTGCTCTCGCCGTTCTCCCGGGCCATGGCCGACGAGGGCGGGGGGCAACGAGCTGAGCGGCAGGGGCGCGTGAGGTCGACGGGGCGCGCTGGGCACGGGGCGCGGGCGGCGGCGAGTCCCGGAGAGCAGGCGGCGATGCTCGGCCCCGGCGCCGGCGGAGACTTTGGGCTGCGGCAGAGCTTCCTCTTCGGCAGTTTCCTCTTTCACTCTCGCCGCCACTGCAGTCGCTCGCTGCCTAGCTTTTCTTTCTGCTGGTCTCGGGCACAGACTTCCTGCCGCCACCGCTGCCANCCCCCCCCCCCCACGCGGGCTCCCCGCCCTCCGCGTGCGCCCCGGCCGCCTCTCCACCTCCCGTGCTGCTGCCTTCGGGGATGTCCTGCTCTCGGGAGCGCCGTGCCCCCGACGCGGGGGCGCCGCTTTCGGCCGCCCGGCCCCGCTCCCCGCCGCCGCGCGCGCCCTGGAGCCGGGCGAGGGCAGGTGCGGAGGACGCGGGCAGGTGTGGAGCGTCGGGCGCTCGGGAGGCACGTAGCCTCTTGGCTGAGTTATTAATTCTGCAAAGTCAAGTCTGGGGGCGTGAGGGCTTTCCTCCCAGGCGGCGGGAGGGGGCGCCTCTGCGTTGCGCTTGGCAGGAGCGGGGGCGCCTTCCCCGCGCTCCCGGGACAGAGGCCCCTCACGTCCCCGCACCGCGCCGCACGGCCGGGGGCTGGTTGGTATGGCGACGGGAGGCGGCAGCGAGGCTGCAGGCGGAGGTGGGCGTTGACTCGGCCACGCGGCGCCGGCCACCGTTGCGCTCCCCGCGCCGGTTGGTTCCTCCCGACTCGGCGACTGGAGCTAATTCGCATTGCACCAAAATCGGCGCTCGCGTCAAACTAGCGGGGGAGGGGAGCCTCGGGGCTGAAGACGCGCAGGACGTGCCAGGCGTTGCCTCGCGTTCCCTTTGGGAGCTGAGCTCGGGGTGACTGGGCGGCCGGGCGGCCGGTGGATTCGGGCAGAGCCCGGGCCAGCTTCGCTCCTGCTCCGCCCCACCTGGTGTCTCCCTCTCTCCCCGGCGGAAACCCAGGGACTTGCTGGAAAGTGGACGTCGGCCCCCCCACATCCTTCTCGAAAGGAGAGCTGCCCCCACTTAGCCTCACCCGCGGCGGGCTTGGCGTGCGCAGGGTCCAGCTTATACCTGGAAACATCCTTTACCACGGGCTGGAGAAACGAGCCCGGCGTCGCCCCTGCCGCCCATTCCAGAGTGCACTTCGCCCACCCCTCTCCATGTCCACCTATCAGAGGGATCTATATCTTGTTCTGAAAAATTGTAGTTTTATTTGTATCAAAACTATCGCACCCTTAGGGCCCCTGAGTTGAATAAACAGTCCTCTCTTGATTGGTGACACCTGTCCCATTTTCCCAGGACTGTTCCAATCTCACAGTTAAAGGGGGAAAAATATATATTCTACTTCCTGAAAAGGAAACTTCATTCTGGCTTTTTCTTTGTCCCTCTGACAAGCTGGTTGCAGGCCCAGCCCACTGCTCTCAGGAAGCAGTCTGGACCCCGTGCCCGCCCCCAACCCTTTCCCTGATCCTAAAGAGATCAGGAGATAACTGGGCTTGGGCTTCGCCCCACCCCTGCCTGCTGGTTTCCGTCTTTCAGAGCTGTTGGCTTAAGGCTCTCCTGGCTGAGGAAAGCAGATAGGGGGTTACTTGGCTAAATGCATAGGCTAAATGACAATCCAAGATAGATTACTTACGGAAACTCAAGTTTCCATCTAAGTTTCACTTAAGTGAAAGGCAAATAGCACCCCCTTCTAGAAGATGTGTCTGAAGCGTTGTAATACCTTTTATTTGTGTCAAAGTTTAGGTAATATGAAGGGTAGGTACCAGGCAGAACTAAGATCCAGTTGACAGGCTCCCATGTCCCAGCCTAAGCTGCTCTTTTCTCCGGCTTTCCTTCCTCCCACTCCTTCTCTTCCTTATCCAGTTCTTAACTCTCCCTCTATTTCATCCTTGCTCCTTTACTAAGGATCAGCCTCCAGAGCTCACAAAAACAATTCTTGCTCAGCTTTTGTCCCTGTAACTAAAAACGTCCTCATGTACACTCTCTCCTCTTCCTTATCGAAGGGAAGCAGTTTTCCATGAACAGCAAAGAAGGGAAAGCAGGCAGAAAGTTGCCCCTGGCTCTCTAGTTGTGGCTTTACCTACCAACCTATGAGGTCCATGAGGGCAAGGAACATGTTGCCTTTTGCATCACTGTATCCCAGCACCTAGCATGGTAACATACACAGAGTAACTGGTGGATGAATGGGTGTTGAATGGATAAAGAACTGAGATAGAATTAAGACAGCTATTTGGTATTTGTTGTACTGGTAGAAATGCTACAAGGAGTTTTCTTTCTCTTCCAAACATTGCAATGATGTTCATTCAGCACTATCAAGTTATCCTCAGCTGGACTAGGTCCTAGAGAAAACACTCAAATGTTTAATGGGGAGTTTAAGAGGTCAGACCCAAAGGAATAGACGCCATGGCCCAAAGAAGGAAGTGGAAATGCCAAAGACAAATTTAGTCTGGATTTAGTATAGTTACTTTTCCCTTATTAGACACCATGTAAAATAAAAAAAGATCTTGATTTTGATCCTGGAAGCTGCAATAGAAAGCAAAGCCCACTATTCCTGAGGAATGGCAAAGCCTTACCCTGTACACTGACTAATTCTTTTTACTTGAGGGCCGTCACTTGGACTGTTCTCTAGTAACTGACCATTTTTCCAGCCTTCCGTGATTTTCTAGAGGAACAGATAAGAAGTCTTGATTGGTGACACCTGTCCCATTTTCCCAGGACTGTTCCAATCTCACAGTTAAAGGGGAAAAAATATGTATTCTACTTCCTGAAAAGGAAACTTCATTCTGACTTTTTCTTTCTCCTGATGCAGGCCCACTGCTCTCAGGAAGCAGTCTGGACCCCGTGCCCACCCCCAACCCTTTCCCTGTGTGGAAGAGCTGCCAGGCTCTTACTTCATTCCACCCTACCTCCACACAGTCAATCAGTTATTGCCTATCAGTTAAAAGCTGTCTGTTCCCCAACAATTCCACTCCAAAAAGCTCTGCCAGATACTCTGGATTACTTAAGTTTAGGTCCCAAACCTTTGTATTTCCTTAAGGCCTTTATTAAAGTTTTCATTAAAGAGATCAAACAAGAAATACTTTCAACAACTCATCATTAAAGAGTTACTAATAGTATGCTCATCAAACTCTTCTCTGGTGAACCCTCCTGCCAATAGATCAGGTTTGTGTGGCCTAGGTCTGAAACTGGGCAGATGGTGTGAGGGAAATAAACACAACCTAAAACAAGTGCATAGGTTACATTTGAAGTTTTCTAAATTACCTTTAACACCTAAAGTGATAAGCCAGGGAGGCAAGCTGGAGTGGTGGAAGGAACTAGAAATCCAGGAAACCAGGCTCAAGTTCCAGATAACCAAGTTTGTAAAACAGTTTGCCTACCCAAGCCTGTAAAGCACAGGTTGTAGAAGGGAGCATGGTACAGAATGATTTTCAGGACTTATAAATTAGTGATATTTTCATATGATGAAAAGCTTATCAAGAATATTATTAATCTTTGAAAACTTAAGAGCTCTTTGATCTGAAAATATTGATCAAAAATATTTTATTAGTTGATCTCATATAGATACACTATGAAAATTTTGTTTAAATCTCAATAAGTAATATTACAGGAAAAAAATGTTTCCTTCTTGAAGGTTGGGTTCCATCCTCTCCTTCAAAGGGATTGTTTTAGAACACTTTGATGTTAGAGGCCTCTTCTCACAAATGCTGAAACTGGCATCTTATATTGTTATTTAAGTCTTAGAAATAGTTAAAAGAGAGTTACTAGAGAGTATTTCCTACATTCTGGTGATCAATATAAGTCATTGACTGTGTACATGACAATAATATCTAGGAAAAGCATAGCCAAATAAAATATCATACAGAATGGCCACCTTTGCAAAAAGCACCCTGTCAGAGAGGCAAGGTGATGAAGAAAGACTCAGCATTGTTGTTCCAGAGTGCTATTTGAAGGAGTAGGAGTAAAGACTGAAAGAACCTTCAGTTATTAACCTGGGTCCTAAAGAAGCTGAGCATGATCCAAGGAAAATACCAGCTAGCCTAGCAAATGTCCAAGGCCCACTTCTTAACATATAGCTATTCTTGCATATAGAAACATATAGAAACTCTTGCATATAGCTATTCACGAAAGAACTCATCTGGTTCAAATAAATGATGAAAAGTCAATTTTATACACAGGACAAAATATTTATAAAATTTTCCAGTTAAAAACTTAGTGAAGAAATAGGAAAAAGAAATGGCACTGAAGTTTCAACATATGAAAAATTTGTGCTAATAATAGATAAATTTTGTGTTTTGACAGATCATAATTTACAACAGAAAAGTAACTGTATAAAACAAGAACTTTAAGCAAAGATGCATTTGCTCAGGAAAGACAGTTCAACAGGAGGAATAAAAATATAAGTTCTAGAGTTCAGGAAAGCAGCAGGAAACAAAATAAACCACCACATATATATAGATTACATTGCAAAGGCACAAGGAAAATTACCAAAATCCTTTTAAGGGATATAGAGGACAAATCAAGAACAGTAGGGAGATAAAATGGAAGTGAACAAACGAACAAAGGTTAGCTAGAAAATTGAATGAAACACAAAGTAAGTTCAGTATATTCATAAATGGTATCCCTTCTCAAGAGATTGAAATAATGGAGCAAGAAATATTTAAAGATGTTATACAATAAAACTTTCCAGAACTGAACAATTTAATCTACAGATTGAACGGGCATATCATATAGGAGAAAATATGTGGATCATATATCAAGACAAATCCTAGTAAAACTACTTGCCCTTTGATTTTCTTAAGGGAAAAATATCGAAGTCACATATATTACAGAAAAAATATATCAGACTGTTACAGACTTCTACAGCCATAGCCAACAATAGAAAATATGTTTATAAAGTCCCTAAGGAAATTAAATGTCACATAAGAATTTCGTAATAATATCTAACATTTATTGAATTCATATTATGCATCAGACCCTGTTCTAAATGCTTTACTATATTTATTTATTAATCCTCATATCAATTTATGAAGTAGGTAATATTGTTGTTCCCCTTCCATAGTGGAGGAAACCAGTATTTGGATTGGTTAAGTAATACACCCCAGGTCACACAGCGTGAGTGAATAAAACCCAGACAGCCAGGCTCTGGAGCCCTTCTCTTAAACATTGCACTAAAATCTCTCTGTC